GTTCTAATTTCATTTGATAGAATCAGAGTAAAATTTTACTCTGGTTCTATCAAATGAAAAAAACAGAGCAATAGAAGCAGAGTAAAATTTTACTCTGGTTCTATCAAATGAAATTAGATCATTCACAACCACTATTCTTCTGTTTCTTCACAGTTACTTGCCTCTTTTGTATCACCTATTTTTGTGGGAAGTAGTTGAGTAATGTGTTTACCAAGAGTAACATGACGCATCCAGTGACATGCCTTGGGTTGTTGTTTGCATTTGCCATTGAATTCATCAGTGTGTCTTTTATTGCCTCAACCCAATTGTACTTCTTGATGTTGTTGAGGTTGTCAACATAGTTGAGGAAACTCCAACTGAGTGTATGGCCTGTTGTGGGCATGAGAAGTTTCAAGCACAAGTAAAGGGTGATTACCCTTGCAAGATCTTGACAATCATTGGTTGATTTTCCTTTTTTTGTTTGTTGAAACATTTTGGTCAAAGACTTGCCATCCAATCTCTTGACTGATTTGCATCTTCGTTTGTAAAATGGAAGCTCAAAATCCTTTGGTCTTGCATAGGATTTGGTGGTGATGCTGTCTTCTCTACAGTTGATACCAAAAATGAGCTTGACATCACTGGTTCTGAGTTTCATTTCCTTTTTGCCAAGTACAAATGATCTTTTTCTTTTGTTGTAGAGTGTTGTCATTTCTGCTACAATGGAATTGTAGCATCTGCACCAAGAGGCCTTCAGTTGTGTTGAGGAGAGAGCATTTATAAGGGGCCAAAAAGGGGTTTTTTGCAGCTCTGTCTGTTGGGCTTTTGTGAATTTGACCCCCTTCAACAGTTTGATTACCGTTCCGATGTTGGAACGATAATTAAATTGTTGGACTCTCTTTGCAGGGACTGCTGGTTTTTTTTCTTTTGATGCCTTGGTTGTTGTTTTGGGAGTTGATTGGCTTTCTTGGAGCTTTCTTTTTTTGGTTGGAGGAGCTTCTTGGTTTTTTGTTGGCTTTCTTTTGTTTGTTTTTGTTGTGGTTGGAGGTGTGGTTGGTGTTTGTTGGGTGGGTGGGGTCTGTGGTGTAGTTCTTGGGCTTTTTCTTGTATGTGGTGTGGTTGTTTTGTGGGTTTTTTGGTGGGGTCTGTTGGGTTTGGTTGTTTTTGGGTGTGGTGGTTTGGTTTTTTGTGGATGGGGAGATGGTGGTGGCATTTTAGTGGATACAGGAGATGGACTTTCAAAAGGGGAGATGGTTAAATCCCTGATTGGATTTGTGGGCATACAGGTTTGTTTCTTCCAATATCTTCCAACAGCTATTTCTGAAAAAATGAAAGTGACAGCAGGGTATGAATAATATAGTGACAAAACTGTATAATTTTGAATTTTTATATGCAGTTTAATATGAAGTTATATGTATTTTGTTGGTAATAGTTACGAAACTGTATAATTTGACAGTTTGATTTGCACTTTATAATAAGTTAGCTATTTGTTTTGAGTAGTGGTTAAACTGTGTAATTTTGCAGTTTCATTTGCAGTTTGAATAAATTTAGATATGTTACTTGTATAGTGATGAAATGAAACACTATGATGTTGCAGTTTTTATAAGGAAACAGTATGAACAATAGGAACAGCCCATTGTATTTTGTAAAAAGCAACAATAACAACAAGAAGATTAAAAATTCAAAAATAAGAATAAGAGTAGCCAATATTGAACAACAAGAATAAGAATAAGGTGTTGAATGTGTAAAAACAGGGATTTATGTGTAGAAACAGTGTTTAGAATGTTGAAAAACAGGGGACTATATATAAAAGAGGGTTTATACATTTGGAAGTATGTAAAATGTGTATATACGAAATATGAAAGAATGATGTACAAATGTGAATGAAAAATAAGGAATAGGTGAAGAGAGATGTTACTTTTTTTCCCCATTTTTGTGAATCGGAAGTCAGGAACTATGAAATCTCTTCAGAGTGGTGATGGTTCTTTGTGTTGTTGAGAGTCGCCGATTAGAGAATATAAACGGCTTGGTGTTATGTTGAAGATGAACGGTTTGGTTTTGTGGTTAGGGTAGGGTTTCAGAGGGAATGGAGTTGAACGGAGGAGAGATGGAGGATTGAGAATGTGATTTCGAGCGGTGGAGATGTAACAGTGTACTGATCAGACTGAGATGATTGTGGGTGATGAAGATGAACGGTTACGTTTTCTGGTTAGGGTTAGGGTTTCAGAGGGGATGGAGTTGAACGGAAGAGAGATGGAGGACTGAGGAGTCGATTTCGAGCGGCGGAGACGTGACAGTGTAGTGATCGGACTGAGATGATGGGGACGTGGGAGATGGTTGCGCGCGTGTAAATTGGATGATATATTGTGGGTATTTTCGTCTTATTGTTAATTTGAGGACTTAATGGAGTATTAAATTTGTTTTGGGTCTAAATGGGTTATGATATGTTGGGCTTGGACCTTTGGGTCAGACGCCCTAAATTATTTGCTTATTTTTCTTTCACTTTTTATTTGTTTCTTTGATTTGGGCCTGTTTGGTATGGACCAATGTGGACTGGATGGTTCATGATTTTTTATTTTTATTTTTAAATCAAAATTTTCACTATAAAAAAAATAAAATAAAATTATTTTCAGTAATTACCAAATGCATTGTCGAAAAAAAAGTAGGTAAAAGATCAATTTCCAAAGGATAGCTATCAAATCAGCTAAATTACTTGAATTTTATTAATGTTGGAATCGTTAAAACTTGTTTAAAATTTAATTTGTTATATAAATAATTTAAAATTTGAATATATTTTGAAACACTTTTTAATTTGGCTTGTAAAATGACCTGTGCCTAAATATTATATATTTAGCCTTCTAAATTTATTTGTCTATTAATTTATAATTTTATATGTTTTTATGTATTTTTATATATTTTAGATGTTTGTATATAAATTAATATAAGAAAATATATTTTAAATATTTTATACATTATTATATTAAAATGTACACACTAATTTACTGTACAGCAAAACTTCACCTACTCCATCACCTCTCTTATTTTGTTTTGTTTGTTTCTCCAGAGAATTGCCTATAAATGGAGGCAACAATCAAGGCAAAGTTACACAACAAACACAAGAGCAACGAAAGGCTGAGGAAAAAGAAAGAAAGAACAGATAAGAAAAGAAAATAAAAGAAAGAGAAAGGGAGGGTAGGAAAGTTTAGAGTGTATGTATTTTAGAGTGGTTGTTAAATTGGTATGAGGAACTAATTTCTTTATCTTAAAGTTAAGATAAAACTCGGATCAAGTAATTATGGTAGTTTATATTTAGTTTTGTAGAATTTTAATCGATTTGGGTACTGTTATATAATTTAAATTTTTGTGCAAATAATATTTTATCAAATTATGTGTTCACTGGTCATGGATACAATTGTTTTCACTGTTTGTGTATTGAAATTGTTAGATGAGTCATACCTAGTAAGACAGGTCATGCATCAGTAGTCTAGTTTAGTTTGGTGGTGACGGTCCATGTTAAGTGAAGATAATTCATGACTTTTTAATTTTAAAATACAAAATCTTTTAAGTGATATGTCCCAACCAAGACACATTGTAGTACCCATCTCAATAATTTTTTACAATTTAAATACAACAACCCCAATTACAAGGTTAGTAGTGGATTCTAAACCCTAAGGTTTCCTTTTTCTTACCTTCCATTTCCAAAACCAAAATCTTTAAATTAGAAACAACTTACCCAAGTCTTTGTGATTCAACACCCGTTCTCAACTGCTATTCTACTTAGTAGTAGTTGTTATCGGTTTTTATTCATTTTATTTTGATGTGCAAACAACACCTACCAATTTTTGGCGCCGTTGTCAGGACTGCTGGTAAGTTCTTTAATTCAGAGATTTCAATTAGTTTTTTTTTTATTTATTTTTTATTTTTTTATGTAGGTGAATTAAAATTAAATAAATAATATAAAAAAACACCAAAAATAATAAAATAAACAAATATATATAATATAAAAAAAAAACAAAAATAATAAAATAAACAAATATATATAAAAATTTGCTACCGTGACACATAAAGGAGATACCCATGTTGGACATATAATTTATGGAATATTTACCTTTGCTCGACATTGGTGGATTACCTCAGCTGGACATGTAACTTGGAGGATATATATATATATATATATATATATAAAAACCGCTAACTTCTAACAACTAACATTTACTTACTGCGATTTACTTTATCACATTTATTTATTTATTTTATTTTATTTTTGGGAGGTCTTATACCCTTTTTATTTTTATCGCACTTTAATTTACTGTAATTATCTTGTAAAGTTTTGTTCTATTTTTCTTACTAATTTGCAAGTTTTTGTGCGTTTTTGTATTTATTAAAATAAATAAATAAATAAAAAAGAGTCTGTGAGTGTGGTGTATGCATGGTCATCGTTCTTGTCTTCCAAAATTATGGTATGATCCTGAACTAGAGCAGACCCTTAGAAATCTTCAGAAATCTAAATCGACTTTGACAATAGTTGAAGCAGCAGTAGACCAACCAAGGTCACTGAAGGCACATTTTACCCCTACCACTAATGTCTCATCATCTTGCATCCAATTATCAATTACCGAAGCAACCCATTATGAGATTAAGCCTAGTAACATTTAAATGCTTTCATCCTTTCACGGACTTAGTAATGAGGATCCCTATAAACATCTTAGTGAGTTTTTAGAGACCTATTCTACAAAGAAACTTCAAAACTTTTCCGATGAGGCCCAAGTTGAGACTATTTGCCTTTTCACTTAAGGATAAGGCCAAACCAATTAGATAAGACATGCCATCAACAATTTCTCTCAAATTGATAGTGACCACTTCCATGAGACTTGGGAAAGGTTTCGGGATTTACTTCATTAGTGTCTTCATCATCAAATAGCCCAGTGGCAACTTGTTCACATTTTCTATTTTGGTTTGATAACTCAGCATGTGGTGGGACGTTTATGACTAAGAGTGATGTAGAGACATGGGAGTTGTTTGAAAATCTGAGAGAAAATTCCATGCACAGTGTATCTTCCTGTCAGCATGAAAAGTAACCAACCCCTAGTGGTATAAAATGAAGTGGCTTATATGAGGTAAATCATAGTGTTGATATTGCTCATCAAGTTGAAATGTTATCTAAAAAACTGGATCAACCGTTAGCAAAGGCCCTTGAAAATTTTAATTTCTTAAAAGTCCTTTACTTTTAAATTATTTCATTGAAGTCCCTCAATTTCTTAATTAATTGCAACCCTAGGATCAAAATACATGCGCCAACAAAAAACCGCAAACCTTAATCGATTTTGGAAACTTAGAAATAATTTCTAATACCCTAATTGACTCCCTAAATATGAAATTACCACTTGGAAACCCTAGGCTTTTCCGGTCTTTATCACGTTCGTCGGTTGATCGCGTTTTTGTTCGAAACAAGAAATCCAAACCGAATTAGACTCTCTAACCCCAATTTAATTTAATTCTACACTAAAATAAATGTTCTAATTCAAAAATTTAACCCAATACCCTCATAGTTTTCTTAAATCACATTTTAACCCCAAACTAGTACCATTACACACACATATACATATATATACTTGTACCTTTCTTAAATAAATAATTTTATACACAAATATCTTCATATCTATATATTAAATCAACAAAAATCTCCCCAAATCTAGCACATGGCCAGCCACCCTAGCATATACACTTGTTGTGTACTTTTGGAGACAACATTGCATGATTCATGAAGGAAAATATGACCTTGGTATCATAATTCAAGGAAAGTTGTCTTGTACTTGTAACTATCTTGGTTCTACTTAAGACTAACCCTAACTAGATCATGCCTTAATACATGATTAGGCTCCCAAATGATCCTTCATTCCATTACATTCCAACTAAATACATCTCAATTCCATTCCATTCCAACCAATGGGTATTTTGGACCTTTTACAACAATTTTATTATAAAAACATCACCACCCTCCACATGTTACACATCTCATACACTCACACAGCTACACATTCAGTTGAGAGAAAGAAAGAAGAGGAAGAGAGTGAACTTTAGTAGTAGAGAAGAGGAAAAGAAGAGACAATTGTGCAAACACTTCACTAGGCAATCAAGTAAGCCACAACACAACTCTCTCTTTCATTTTCCTTTTTCAAATACATGTTATCAAAAGTTTAAAATGGTATTTTCAGATGTGTTCTAATTGTATTCTTATTTTAAAAATGAAAGGAGTTGAGCCTTGATTTTACCCTTCTTGTATTTCTCTTAATCAGTATAAGACTACATTTTTCCATATCAAACTCTCAAAATTTCCAAAGGCACACCTTCACCTTAAATTTCTAAGTTTAATACATATTATTTAGCAAGTTTTCATCACAAGATGAAGGGTGAGATTGGCTCGAAGCAACGAGAAGGGCTAACAACACAAAATGCAGCGGAAATTGACGCAGAGACGAAGATTATAGCGACAAAGAGGCAAGGAGAGGGAAAGGAAGAAGTAAAAGTGAAGACAGAGGTACAAATATTTGAGAACCAAAAGGCGGCTGATGTGGCGAAGGCGAATGCTGAGTTGGCAACGAAGAAGGCGGGGTGGGCCCAGTTGGCCCAGTTGGCGGAGGTGGAATCGGCTAAGGCGGTGGCATTGGGGGAGGCTGAGTTGCAGAGGGTGGTGGAAGAGAAGAACGCTTTGACTCAGTTGGAGAAGCTCAAGGCTGAGAATTTGAGCAAGGCTAGCGTGGAGTATGAAATTAAGGTAATTTAATTTAATGTTTTGATTTTATGTTTAATGCAGTTTAATGTTTGATTTAGTATGATTAATGTGATTTGATGCAATTTTATGTTAGGGGTTTTTAGAAAAAAATTTGAAATTTTTTATGGGAGATTTATTGGTGTGGGAGCCGAATAATGGAAAAATCAGAAGGTGCGTACCTTAGAAGACTAATATTAATCGGCTGTATCCTATGAGAATGGGAAGCCGAATATAATACATGTGACGAATAAGTGTAGATCCTTAGAACTGAATAAGAGAAAGGACAATGATTAAAAAGTAGGCCCTGGCCCCGAGGATCAAAAGGAACAGGTATAAATACAAGAACAATGGATTGAGAAAGGTATGTAAGAATCACTTCACTTAACTTAGTAAACAAGTTATCCTGAGTGTCTGAACTGACTTGTCTGTCGGAGTGCTAATTTCGGCACCCCGACCGGAGTGTTTGTATCTTTTCAGGTGACTAGCTGAGGATCACTAGCGTCTCCCAGGATCTGAAGAGTATTTTCAAACCACTTCTCCACAATTGGCGCCGTCTGTGGGAATACTCAAATACATCCATGGCAGGCGTGATTGAAGATCCTCCGATAGTCACTGACGAGACCTCACAGAGAGATGACCTCACTCCAGCAAATATGCTCAAAAAGGAAACCATCGTTGCAAGACGCTCCTTGAACTTCGACTCACCAACGACTTCAGTGCAAGAGACAATGCAAGCGATCATGAAACAAGCAAAGCAGAATGAACAAAGGCTGGAGAACATGATCGCTGAAAATGAACGTCTCCGTCAAGATTTGGCCCTGGAAGTAGCAAAATCCAGAGAAGCTGTGCGCCAAGATCCCGAACGACCTTCGAGGGCAGGTGGACAACGACCTCGAGCCCGACCAAAGGATACCGATAGTGACTCCAACTCATTACCCACGGAGCTCAACAAGAAGGGACGATCCAAAACTTCCAGCTCCTCCGAAAAGAGTCTACATACAAGGAACAAGTGCAGAAGAAGCAGTTCAGACGAAGAGGACCAGCACGATCCTTTTGTTCGACGGATTGCAAGAGCGGCCCTGCCCAAGAAGTTCAAAGCTCCGTCATTTACTCTTTACGATGAAAAATCAGACCCCATTGATTATATTCGTCACTACAAGTAGGCCATGACATTGCATGCAGACAATGAAGCCCTCATGTGCCGAATATTCCCCAGCAGCCTGGGGCCATTAGCTGCCAGGTCGTATTGCAAGCTGGAGCCGGCTTCGATCAAAACTTCCATCAATTACAGAAATCTTTCGGGGCCAGGTTCATTACCAACGAGGTACAACCGAAATAGGTCGACTCTCTCTGGGCTATGCAGATCCAGTCAGGAGAAACGCTCAGAACGTATTCGGCGTGCTATTAGGAGTGCTTCAACCTCGTCGACGACACTTGCAACGACTCCATGGCCATCATCGCCTTCAGAATGGGACTACATCCTGACAGTGCTCTTCGCAGTTCCCTGACCAGAAGACCCCCCAAAACAGTTTGGGCATTGATGAAGAAAGTTGAAGAGTATTGCAAAGTGGAAGATGATGCCTTGAGAATAAAAGCCGGACAAATGTCCAACAAAACGGCCCCCCTTGAAATTGCTCAACCAATAAGTTCCATGCCACCTCCGAGCCCTGAGCCACGACAACGCGCTAAACGAGACAAAAGGCGGGACTCTCGCCGATCAAGCGATCAATGCTCCCACCAGACGAATGAACAACTGCAAGTTGACAGCAGGCGCTCGAGGCGTGCCGACAAAAAGTACACATAATTGTCAGAACCAATCATTGCAATAATGACCAAAGTCCAACACCTTCTATTCTTCAAATGGCCGTCAAAGATGGTAGGGCCACCCGACACGCGAAGAAGGGATAGGCGGTGTGAGTATCACAAAGATCACGGCCACGAAACCGAGAGTTGTTACGCATTAAAGGATCACCTGGAAGAACTGGTGCAAGACGGCCGACTACAACAGTACGTGAGAAAGGGAAAGCCAATCAAGGCATTAGACTTAAGGCAGGACTCACCTCCACTTGGCGTGATCCATATAATCTACAGCTTGTTTGTATCCCCAACGTACACAATTCAATCGCATCCAATCCCCCAAAAGTAACGTATTCTGACCGAATGGCCCAGAGAAGCTCCGACAATTACTTTCAATGACTCCGATCTTCACAGCACAACAGCCTCCCACATCGATCCATTGGTCATCAAATTACGCGTAAATCGGTTCACCATTGCACGCATTCTCATAGACCCAGGGAGTACTTCAGAGGTTATGTATTACAAAACTTTCATCAAACTCGGCTTCAACGAGTCAGATCTGTCTCCGGCACCTCACCCATTGATCGGCTTTAATACGGATCCTGAGTACCCGTTAGGGAAGATCATACTACCTGTTCGAGCGGGCTCCAGAATGGTTGAAGTAGAATTCTTGGTCGTAAAGCTCCCTTCGCCGTATAATGTCATCATGGGGCGAATCTGGTTACATATTATGAAGGCAGTTCCAAGCACTTATCATCAGCTTGTGCGCTTCCTGACAGCCCATGGCATTGTAGAAATCTGTGGCTCCCCGCAATCAGCACAAGCAGAGATTTTATGAAAACCCTATCACTGACCCGACCTGTGGGCTTTGATACTTGTGTATATATCATTTCTGCAATGCAAACCATTTTTCTTCGTCGCTCAATTCATTTCTCAAACCCCATTGTAGCGCTCGTCATGTCGACGATTCAAAGCCCCCCTTTGGTGCATAACACCTTAGGGCCGATTAAGTCTCCGGATTCGGAGCGCCCTTCGTGGATATCACGATTGGCCACATTAAGTCTCCGGATTCGGAGCCCCTTTTGGTGCATGACACCTTAGGGCCGATTAAGCTTCCGGATTCGGAGCCCCCTTTGGTGCATAACACCTTAGGGCTGATTAAGCCTTCGGATTAGGAGCCCCTTGGGTGCATGACACCTTAGGACCGATTAAGCCTCCGGATTCGGAGCCCCTTTTGGTGCATGACACCTTAGGGCCGATTAAGCCTTCGGATTAGGAGCCCCTTTTGGTGCATGACACCTTAGGGCCGATTAAGCCTCCGGATTCGGAGCCCTTTTGGTGCATGACACC